TTAAAAAAAAAAAAAACTAAAGCTGACTTTCTCCTTTATCTTCTAAGAGATGAAAGCCCTTGCTGGCAAGGAAAGGTTTAGCGGTTCCACTGGATTTAGCATTTTCTAAACTGTTGCAGTCCTCCATTACTGCCCTACCTTTCCTCTAGGCTGTCTTTACATTCTCTGTCAGAAATGCAGATGGGACTGATAGGATTTATCATGCAATAAACCAAATAATTTTTGAGGTTTGGAATCTAAACTTTAAAAAGTCTACTTGTTTTCCTGGACATTTTGGACATGCTCATTTGTTTAACTGTATTAGATAAGAAAAAGAATGGGTGATTTTGCTATGAGAATAATTAGATATGGTAGTAAATTATATTACTGAAAATTATTAGTCTTTTAATAGCAAATTTTAAAGATATTTCTTTTTAAAACTCCCCAAAAATGCAGAAACATGGAACATTTTAAAAATACCCATGTATAAACAAAGTGACATATACATATTCATTCACATTAAAAATGAACAATGGTAAGGTATACTAGTAGAAGATGGAACTGAAGAGTTACTGTGCATCTCTAGAAATGAGATCTTTTTTAACAGTTTAAGATCTTAACCTAGAAATATATTGAAGCAGTCCCCAACACAAGTACAAATTTTTTAAAGCGTCTTTGTTAGCAAAAAGAATAAATCTACTTTTCCACTGTCCAATACAACCTGGTCCAGTCTGCCTTCCTACTCCAAATGGGAGCGATCCTAGAGTTGCAACCTGAGGTTGAGGTTACGCCTATTCACTGGTGAAAGTTCCTAGGATCTAGAAATCACTGTTAACCTCCATAGGATTTTTGTCCCTTTGTTCTATGCCACACACCGTACGAGGCACTGGGGATGCAGTGTTGTTCAACACAGAACATCTGTTAGGGACACTAAGATCTGCCTTGGGAGACAGAATCACAGGATGGAATGATAGGGTTACTAAGCATACAGACATTACAAATGAGAAGTAGAAGAGAAAATCCTTCTGCCAGGAGGAGTGGAGAAGGTGGAGAAGGTTGGTGATTTTCTTCCTGAACAACATTTGGAAATATCTGGACATATTTTAATCATTACAACTAGAGGAGAGGACAAGGGAGTTGCAAAGCAACCTACTGTGCACTAGACAGCCCCTTATAAGAAAAGATGACCTAGCCCCACGTGCACTAGTGCCAAGGCTGAGAGGTGCTACTGTAGAGCAGCATCACTGTTGGGGCTGTGTGTTAGAGTGTCTGCTAGTTAGCAGGTTGGGAAGCCCATCCCGCTCAAATGTTTCATCGTGTTGATAGCTTTGAGACCACGGAAGGGATAAGAACAAGAACAGAGGACTCATTTGTTGGGACAGTGGCAAGGCCAGAGTTCTGGTGAGGCTCAGGGACCAAGATCAAGCTGTTTGCTGAGATGTCTGCATTCCTTGATGAGACCTGATTTAATCACCCATGTGAGAGCATGTTTTCTGTTTTCTGCCAGCATCCAATTATCCCCACAGTAAGAACATTCTCAGATTAAGGAGAGTGAGATCTCTTCCTTGCGCAGGGGCCATGCTAATCTTCTTTGTATCGTTCCAATTTTAGTATATGTGCTGCTGAAGCAAGCACAAGAGTGAGACCTCTTATGGACTTTGTAAGACAACTGTTTGGTTTTGTTTCCTGTCATTACCCACATGAATCCATAGTGGCAAAAATAATGTAGGAAAAGTAATAGCACTACTAATTTGTTTATTCTTATGTGGAAGCCAGAAAGTACATGCTAGCAATACCTACTGCGCTTAAATAAAGTTTTTTATTTAATTTAAAACTTTTTTAAATAAAAAAGGTTTCTCCCAATTTGTGCTAAAGCTTCACTCTGCATAACAGAAGCAGGTATAAGTTATTAAATAAGGGGCCCTCCTCCAAGTAGATCCAAATCTTTTTTTTTTAATGTATTTAGTACAGGGTCTCACTACATAGACTGGACTCATAATGATCCTCCTGTTTTTAGCCTCCCAAGTGCTGGGATTACAGGTGCATGCCACCATGGCCAGTCTCAGTCCGTCTCAGCATGCCCCAGGTGTGGGGCCAGCACGGCATGCCAGGGATCAAACCCATGTCCCTTGTGCCTGCCTAGGCAGGTGCTTTAGTCTGTTGAGCTATCTGGTCAGCCCTGTAAATCTAAAAGAGTGAAAATACATTTTCCCCCATTGTATCAATTACAGCAAATTAATAGCTCTTAAAATTAGAAAGTTTAAAAACAAAAATTAAGAGGGTCAGGGAGATAGCTCAGTGGCATATATTCCTGCCTGGCAAGTGCAAGGTCCTCAGTTTGATCCCCATACAAAAAAAAAAAAAAAAAAAAAGCCTAGCCATGGCTAAAACAAAAAATTAGGAAGACTGGGTTCAGTATTTCTATGATTTGATAGTTATGCTAAAATAAAATGTAAAGAGTAATTACTTTCTTACCCAAGATGCATCATGAACATCAAAACAGTCTTGAAGTTCACTGTGTCTCCTACACCCATAACCACCAAAATATATTAACCTGGAAAACAAATACAAAAAGACAACTTCAGTAGTTCCAGTTTGTCCACAAAGTTGAAACAGATCTTTCCTCTCACCCAAATAACCTAAACAAGCCACGTAAACTACAAAATCACAGTTTCAAATAAAAGAGCAGAGGGCACAGACACTTAAATGAAGCAATTCAGAAAGACAGGAGAAGCTCTACAGGAGAGAAGAGAGACATGGCTGCTTTCATCCCTGGCAAAACAGCAGGAAGAAGGCAAAAACATTACATCCAACCTTTGGTTTTTTCCATAATTTTACTGAGAAACAAATAGCAATGAGACAGTTTCAAATCAAATTGGTAGGACAGTTCCAATAATTAACACATTGCATACTCTCTTCCTAGTGGTTATTTGCTGTACAAGATACAGACATGATATCCTATTTATAAACACTATTAGAACAAATCTAAGCATCCAAAGTTTTAACAGCTGTATGTAGGATGGCATAGGATGAGGGATTGTAATGTTTGACGTAAAAGTTAGCACGAAACCTGGCAATACCAGGAGTAAACCCACTCTTAACTCTTCTGCATGGTCTTCCAGGAGGGTGCAGTATCAGTCATCAAAATCTGGAAGTAGGGGCTGAGTGTGTAGCTCAGTGGTAGAGTACTTGCTTAGCATGTGGTGCCCTGGATTTTCTGATCCCTGGCCCCCAGGGGGGAGGGAGGGAGGGAGGGAGGGAGGGAGAGAGAGAGAAGAGGAAAAAGAAAGCTGGAAGCAGGACACAGACAGCTGGATAAATTTCTTTGACACAATGTGTGTTAAAAATACTAAAATTTGGGATCAGGACAGAAAAGCTGAAGAAAGGAAGGCCAAGTCTTTATACCACAGACCTAGAGAAGAGAAGCAAGACTGAGAGATCTCATCTCCCCAGACACAGAAAGCACAGAGAGTGGAGAGCAAAGAGAATTTCCTAGTGGCCCAAAGTCTTCCCAAATGGCTATAAAGGGGGCCTGCCCCGTAGCTCAGCTCTTTAAGTGGCTGCTTCAACAAAGCAGTCAGGCTCAGGTTGCTGTGGTTCAATCCCTACAACTCAAGCCAGCCAAACCTGCCCTGAAGGCAGTTGGAACAACAACAACAACAAAAATCCTTCTGCCAAATGGCTATAAACAGATCTCCCACAGTTCTGAGCAGAAGAAACTCAGCTGTGAAATACAGCTGGAAATCTTCAGTGTTCAAAAGTAGTGCTGTTATGGTTTGTGTCTAGTTGTCCCCCCAAAGCCTCATGCAGTCATGGGGCAAACTTGTAGAGTCTGCGATTAACTCATGATCCACTGAGATTATGGGTGTGAGTGCTACACCCAGCCTGGGGTGGACAGCCTGAATGAGACTTAAAGGAGACAGACTTGCTCTCTGCAGCCACTGTTGCCATTACTCCTCCCTTTGCTCTCTTGCTTTTCGCTGCCACCATGGAAGGTTGCTCTCTGCCACGTGCCACTCTGCCTTAGAGTCAGATGAGTATGGCCTGAAACCTCCAGTAACTGTGAGCTAAATAAATCTTCTTTACTTCATTTTGGGTGTTGGGTATTTTGTCCCAGCAACGAGAGAAGAGTAACTGAGATAGGAGCCCTAGTAAGGGCCCTGCCTTGAAATAGTTGAAGCTCATGGTAAAACAGAGTCAAACTAAAGCTACCACCAAGCCCATGCACACGTCAACTACAGATGGACCTGATCCATCTTCCTTTCTAGAAGCCTGAAAAAAAAAAAAAAGAACGGCATGTCACTTCCCAGAGATAGATATAATTCATTCCAGTCTCTTCTGTCCTTTCATACAGAATAGCTGGCATATAATAAAAAATTATAAGATACATGAAAAAGCCAAAAAGAAGAAAAGGTGGCTCGTAGTCAAGAGAGAAAAAGGTTAACATAATCCGACTCAGAGGTGGCCCATATACTCGAATTATCAGAAAAGGCCTTGGAAATAACTGCATTTTAAGGAAAGCCTAATCTCCAAAAAAGGTGCCAAGTGCCTAGTGGAAAGTAGTGTCTGGTAGGCATTTGCTGACTGAGGTCACACACTGTGGGCTCCCAGAGGAACCACAAACTGAACTTCGTGGGCCTTGCTTAGTCATGCTGCTGCCAGAACAAGCAGGCTTTGAAAGTCCCATTGTGCCACCTGGACCTGATCAATAACTGCAACCAGTAGTCAAGTTTAAAATTAACCAACTAGGAATGAGCACATTTGTATCTTCATTTGCATAGTAACCTGCTTAGGTACCTTGCCAGGAATAACAAAATAAATAAAGATCCTGCTAGTCAAAGAAGAAATCACAAGGGAAACCAGAAACTACCTTGAGGGCTGGGGATATTGATGAGCAGCAGTGCACCTGCCTGGCAAGTGTAAGGTCCTGAGTTCAATTCCCAGTAACAAGAAAGAAGAAGAAACCACCTTGCAATGAATGAAATGACATATGACAAAGCTAATGAAACATAGCAAAGGCAAACCTCAGAGAGAAATGTATAGCTGTAAATACCTACATTTAAAAAAAAACCAAAACAGTAATAGTACCCATGACAGAACTAGAAAGAAAAACAAATTAAACCCATGGAGAGGGAGGGGAGTGATAGAGATGGGAGATAATTAATAGGTAGAAAAGAAACAAAAATAAAAATTGGTTGTTTGAAAAGATCAGCAAAATTGCTAACTATTCAGACTGACTAGGAAAAACATAAGGAAGGGCTGTGAATGTAGTTCAGAGGTAGAGTTTGCCTAGCCTTAGGTCCCATCCTCAGCATTACAAAAAAAATTATTAATAATAAAAAATCAGGGGCTGGGGAGATGGCAGTGGAATAAGCGCTTCCCTGGCAAGCGCAAGGGCCTGAGTTCAATCCCTGGTTCTGCCAAAAAAAAAAAAAATTAGAAAATAGTATTATGAAAACAGTATGTCAGCAACTGGATAATCTGGATGGAGTTTTAAAAATTCCTAGGAAAGCTGGCATGGTGGCACACATCTGTAATCCCTGTACTTGTGAGGCATAGGCAGGAAGATTACCAAGAGTTACAGCCTAGCCTAGGTAAACAGTGAGACCTTGTATTAAAAAGAAAGAAAAAACACTTCCCTCCAAATTCCTAGAAAGACTCATACAGAGGGGGTGGGGGGCGGGGGTGGCACATATCTATAATCCTGTCACCTAGGCAGCTGAGGCAGGGGATCTGAGTTGGAAGGTGGCCTGGACTACATGAGAAATGATAGTTTCTACAACAGAACTTTAAAAAACAAACAAG